CTTCTTCGTGGTCACGGTCAATCGATACGTACTTGAGAGCTACGTTTCCCGGAACTTCGGCGTGAGACAGTGTGCGGAGGCGCCAGGGCGTCGAGCTCCTTCCGTTTCTTCATCTTCTTCGTCGGTTGACGAAGCGGCACTGTCACCGCCACCGAGTCCATCTCAAGCAACACCGAGCCGCCTATCTTCGTTTCGTTTCACAGGCGTGCCTGTCGCGTACAGGAACTCCCTTCTTTTTCTCTTTCTTTTCTTTTCTTTTCTCTTTTTTTCCCCCTTTTCTTTCTCTCCGTCTCACTTTCACTCCCTCTCCCTCTTTATCAACCCCTGCACAATGCACTCGCGTCGATAATCATTCGCACCACAGGTTCATTTCCGTGCTCGAAATTCGGCCGCGTTTCCACTGTTCCGCCCGCGTGAACGCGACGATCTACGATTCACGGCCCCTCGATCACATCTTTCCGATTCTATCGTTCCCCCGTGAATAAAATATCTATTATACCGGTATATCGCGTGACTACTTCCTCTGAAAATCAATTGATTTTGCACGTCAAAAGGCATATTCTTTTTCTTTTTTTTCTTTTTTTATCGGTGAAATATTGTATCTTGACTTGGAGTTTATATAATGAATTTTAAAAGTAGGAAATTTTTCAATTTTTGGTAATTATTGATCTATCATCATTGGGTTATACGTGATATCATATAATAGTTTGGGTTGATCTTCGTGTTATGACGTTCGATCATGGTCAAGCATCGTTGTATAATTATTCACTGTAAGTGAATATACTCGTATAATTTAGAGATTAAAGGAACATTTTCTTTTTTGAATCAATATTTTTCAAAATTCGGAGAAATTGATCAAGGTTTAATTAATTAATATCGAAAATGTAATATCAATAATCCATTTCAAATAATGTAACACAAATCTATCTTAAATTGTTATTATTTGGTATTCACCTATGATCTTATTAATGACATTAATTAAGTAATACATATAGTAATTTTATTTATATTAATTATTTGCATGTGTTTGTTAGAATCGAGAGGATTCTATAAATTTTAAGATTTTGTAGTCTGAGTGAAATAAAAGAATCATTTCAGGTCACTAGAGAAGTGTCCCCACTCTTTATTTGTTCTTCCACTATATTTCGTCAGTCTATCTGTACACCAATATGTACAGACACTTAAATATGTAGAAGCTACTTTTCCAATGATAATTTAAAATTTCCAAGTATACTTATTTTAAATTTATTTTAAAATTAAACTAAAAATCTTATATTAAAATGAAAAAATTTAAAAATGAAGAAAAAATTTAAATGAGATAATTAATTTAAAAGCAATAAATGTTTAATATCTAAAAGATTTATATTTGCCTTCAATTTTCTAACTATAAAATATCTTTATTAAATTTTCCTGAATATTCTTCTAAAAACTCTTCTATAATTCAACGAGTAATTGAACATTTTTGGAAAAATTTAATTTAAAAATATTTTCCACTTGTCGAAAAATCATCGAATTCGAGAAAGAAAGTGAAGTGAATCAAGCTTGTAAAATCTGGCAAATTTCCTCTGCACGCTCTTGTATCGCGACATCGATCGATCGATCTCGACAATACAACAGCGAGTTCTTGAGCGAAAGAGGTCGGGAGAACAAAAGCACGAGGAAGGCGACGGCAAACAAAAGCTCACCTAGTTAAGAAAAACCAAGGGACTACAAGAAAGGAGAAAGAAAAAAAAAAAAAAAATAAGGGAAAAGGGAAAAATGAAAAAAA